TAAAGGTGTTGGAACTGCATTATCCTATATAAATTTAATTAGTTTTCAAGTTCTAGATAAGTAGTTATTAAGTACTTAAATACCTCTAGTTCTTGTATATCAAATCCTCCATCAGAATTCATATATAGAAGCTCTTCGAAATCCATAATATTCGAGTACTTAGTAAGTACTTAGTAATTACTTGCCGTTAGACTGTAAATTATGAATTAAAAGAAAAGTTGAAATTCAGCGGGAAGATACAGTAATTATAAAGATCATGCGACTTGTTATTGATGACTAATGCTTGTTTTGATCACGTGTAAAGGGTAAGGATCACGCGACCCTTCCCGTAGGGTCACGCAACCTGTAGCCACCGTATAGCCGGGCAGTTTTGAGGCATATTGATTAGTAATATGGCTGGATACCAGCTAGACTAGTACTTCGATCGGGGCTTGAAGGCACTTTCAACCCAGCATTAAGATTCCTTTTGACTAGAAAGGAGAGATCTCAGAATGCCCTCCATTAAAGTCTTCACTCGTTGGCGCCCTCCGCTGCCATCGGAAGCGGCTGCCCCTGAAATCACCCGAACACAGGCCTCCAATCCCGGGCAAAACACCACGATCGCATTAACACCACCACCATCCCAGAAACTCTCTCGCCCCTGGAAAAGCGATTCAGCTTTTACCCAAATATTCAACGCAGATGACTCTAATCGAACTGTCTTCGAACATGTCGTTGCACCAACTCTCCCCAGGGTTTTAGGCGGGCAAAACTGCAACTTCTTCGCCTACGGACACTCGGGCAGTGGGAAATCCCACACCATCATCGGGTATGATTTTGAACAGCCCAGCGAGTTCGGACTCTGTTTATCAGCTGCAAAAGCGCTCTACGAGCATCTATACCAACTAAATGAGAATGCCAAGGAGAATGAGATGCTTCTCCTAGGTCTCCGCATGTACGAGCTGCGGAAAAACATTGCCTTTGACTTGCTCAACGACCGATGCAAGTGCCATATCCGCGAAGGCGCTAACGGGAAGACCCACGTTCGCGGGGAGACGGAAACCCTCGCCGACGGGAAAGTCCGCGTGCGACCCATCGTCACCAAGCCATGCTTTACTTTTGAGGAGTTCCATACTCAGCTGCTGGCAGGCATCCAGAGTAGGGCGACAGGCACATCGACGATTCATGACCAGAGTTCGCGGACACACGCTGTGTTTGAAGTTGAGATTGTCACGAGAGAACTATTGGATGCACGGGATGCCGTCGTGGAGCGACAATCCGAGCTGGTACCGGTCGGGAAACGCGCAACTGATATCTACATCGAGGAGAATATGAAGGCCATTATCCAGACACCGGATGGAAAGTATGTTCCGAATCCGGATTACCAACTCAATCAGAAAGCGATAGATGAGGCCGAGGCAAAGAAAGCCGAATATGAGTCGCGTGTTCAGAAGGCGGAAGAGCATGTTCTAGAAGTGAAGAAGACCTGTCCCCATGCCTGCCTAGGTGGAAAGATGGTGTTTGTGGATCTTGCCGGCTCAGAGTTCTGTCATGACAAGGGTTCCGTGTCCACCATGCGGACAAAACAGACGCCTCAGGAGCAGCAGGAGAGCAGACAGATCAATACTGATCTTCTTGCCTTGAAAGAAGTCATTCGGGCTATGGCCCGGAAGCAGGCCCGGATTCCTTTCCGGTCATCGCCGCTGACCATGGTTCTGCGCGAACACTTTGTCACGGGCGGCGATGATGGAGTTTCGGCGATGATCCTGACCGCTTCGCCTTCATCGGAGCAGTACAACGCAACGATTGATACGCTGAAATATGGTAATTTGATTGGAATGGCCGGAGTTCGTTGAGAGTCAAGGAAAGAATGGCCGTTGCACTCCTTTTTTTCCATAGCTTACATTGAATAATCACGTAGATCGGTAAATATGAGTGCAATCCTTTGTATGGTGCACAGCCCTCGCATACGTTGGAACATGACTGAGAAGTCAAAAGCTTTCGGGATCTATTTCAAGCTGCTACTGAGGAATGGCCTACTTTCGCTGACATCTTTCAGTCCTGTATCGCTGGCAGAGCACTTTGAGGACTTCAGCCAACCACTCAAAGTCCTTCCGCTCGAGATAAACCTGGGCAGACAGTCTCACCCACAACCAGCCCCCGTGCTCAACAAGAGGCACGAACGTCCCATGCTCCTCCACCAGAGTGGTTTGAAACCACCTGACCGCTGCGACAGCCTCATCAGCCTTCAAAAGCGTAGCACAAGAATCAGAAGCTGCCAAATCCTCCCTGAAAGTGAACGGTAAGCGGATAGTTGTCATAGCGCATCGCCTGAGGTTGCTCTGCTTCCCCGGCTGTAGAACCCTTTCCTCCATAACATCTGTTCCCAGCGTCGCAGCAACGACATCGGCAGCCTCATTTGCCAATCTTTCCAGGTATTCGTAAATACGGGCTTCGCCACCACACACCGTCTTGCGGAACTCCAACGCCGCAGGAACACAGAAGTAGGGCGTATCATCGTTGGTAGCGACGAATTCAAAAAGACCCTCAAATGCACTCTTCGAAGTGTCGTCACTTTTCATGACGGAAGGGGCAGTCGCAGGAGAGTCCTCGGACGGGATGAAGCCCCAGGAGGTGGGAATGGTGGTTCGAATCAGATGTTGGTTGCGTTTTGGGACATAAAGCACACAGCAACTCCGGGGGACGAATAGCCATCTATCGAGGGTTGACATATGAGCCCACTGCTGGAAAATTATCGAGAACAAAACTCAGCAGAAACTTACTTATGACAATTACTCGTGAAGAAGTCCGGCTGCAGTTTCCCAAGATCCAACGGCAGCTGTCCAATACCGTGCGCACCATCAATCAAACTCAAAATGCCCTCTTCTCGACAAACCTCAGTGAGTCTTTCAAAAGGAAACCGCACAGCAGGCAAGCTAGTCACCACATCAAAGAGTGCAAGCTTCACATTCAATCCCTCGCTCCGTGCTTCCCGAACAACCTGAAGAAAGCGCTCCACCAGGTCCTCGTGACTAATCGGCATTTCATATCGGACTTTACGAATCTGAGCGGCCCTAGATTCAATAAAGGATACAATGCCCTTTTCGAGAGCACCGTAGACGGTTTCAAAGTAGATAATGACATCATCTGACTTGAATGGCAGGTTGTGGAGGACGGTGTTCACACCTGTAGTTGCATTCTTGACGAAGACACACTCGCTCCGGGGAACATTCAACAGCTTGGCGACCGCCTCCCGAGAGACATCTAGTTCTTTAGGGGTGGTGTAGCGGATAAATGGATCTGGACGCGCCTCAACTTGATCTTGGAAATGGCGCAAGGCGGTGCGGACTGCGGCAGGATACGTTCCGAATGATCCTGGAGTTGATTAGGATCCAATCAGTCTTGGATACTACAACGTTCGGTAAGTTCTATAGCAGGCGTTCTTACCATGGTTCAAATTTAGGAACTTGGGATCAAAGAGAAATTGCTCACGCATCGTTGCCCCGAAGGGGATGATAGATGCATCAGTAGAAGCCATATTGAAGTTAGGTGTATTAGTTGATAGTTAACTAAGTAGATAACTTGTTGTTTCCTTGCGATGACTCAAATCGCGGAGAAGACGCTGGTCGGCCTCGGCAACGGCAGTACGTTTACCGCACTCGGAACAGAAACCACTATTAGCTCGATTGGCCTAATGCCAGTCATTAGATGTGGATATGAGGCACATTTCTCTAGCTTCTAGCCCCATGCCACAGTATTATTGTGTAGTACTGCTTCTATCCGATATCATCATGCGTTGCCGTAAAGAAACAGAATATGGAAGAGAGGGCACTACCGCCCACGCCCTCCCGCTCATGCCAACACTCTCCGCCTCTCTCCGCCTACCTTAGAAGGCAAGACTCGCTCCGGATAAGGTAAAACTTCCTTTCAGAGACGGCATAACTTCACCGCCTATCATATTTGTAATATCCTAGCCTGAGGCAGGAATTTAAGCCTTGAGGTGCGGCATCCTCATGCCTTACGCAGGAACAATACTTAACCTGAAAGGCAGTAGTGAAAAAGCAAGTGTCCACCTTCTCAGGCAGGTGGAGTATAGGGGAGGATTGTGACATGAGTGGAGGCTGGTATGGAGGCACCCTGGCCGGTGTGGCGGTAGTAGAGAGCGTCCTCTATGTGGAAAGAAGTGACATGCGGATGACCAAACGCATCCAATTACTGAAATTCACACATTACTAAGTCAATCTGATCTCATTCATTTTGGAGACAGAAACTAAAGAGTGTCAACGTGACCCAGCAACCACTGCAAATGGCGATACGACACACGGCCCTGATCCTGGGGCTGCTTATGCCCTGATTGGTAAGTCTCCGCCCACATCAACCCGCGCTCATAATGTTGTACGCCCATCACTCCCTGCGGCCCATCCAACCCCCCGTATCCTTCCTGCGCCTCAAAAATCTCGTTCCATTGGAGATCCGGCATCTTAATATCGATCGGTGTGGCAGGTGCAGACTGGAAACCCAGCTGGCCGTTCCAGGTCATGTTCTGGATGGCGAGGAGAGTGCCGTTCGTAATAATCAGATAGTCCCAGTCGCCGTTGGCAATAAGCACACGGTTGGTCGCCTCAATAACACGCGGGAGAGCCCCCTCGGTGGGGTTGGGTGAGTCGTCCCCTTGCTGCTCCGGACCGGGGTCGGAATCACCGCCAGCAAATACGAGGTCAGTGCTGCAGAGCTCCCATTCCACGTCCAGTGGGGCGTGCAGGGCCTTTTTCACATCCGCGCGGTTGAAGTATGTAGAGGGCGCAGGTTCGTAGGCTAGGTCTGTCGGCCAGCCCAGCACATCCCAGAGAAGTGGACATTCATCAATGACACGGTATGGATTGAAGCATGGGTTGGGATTGTAGGCTTCGTAGTAGATCATGTTATAGATGTCGCACTCGGAGTAGTTCATGTATTGGGGAGGTTGAATGCCGCTTGGAGGGAAGGCAAAGTACTCATCGAAGTATGCTTTGTAGCCGCACTCTTCGTAGGTGGTTTCGAGCTCGTTCATGTAGGACTGGTTGAAGTTGAAGAGTGAAGCGTGCTGCTTGACGAAGGGGTAGGCAGGGAGCTCGGCTTGGATGTAGTCCCATTGGCCGATGCAGGCATCGTAGAGGAGGGCTCCTAGAGAGGGGTTGAATAGTCAGGAGTAGTCCACTAAGCTTATGGTGGTAATGGTTATGGGTAGATGGGGCTCGTACCGCTCAAATTGAAACGCGTGGTGTCGTTTCTATCTAGCATTGCCGACGAGATGTAAGGAACATATCGACCGGCGTAGCTCTCACCGGTTATGAAGATGCAAAAGTTCTTTATCCCATAAAGGTCTTCGAACTTTGCAAAAAAGTTGAGAAAGTCGGCGGCAATCTCGACTTCGTTGGTGGCTGTAACATTGCCGACAGAAAATCCGGTTCCGACTGGTTGGTCAACCCTTAATCATCTCAAGTTAGTCACACAAAGTACAGGCTGAATGCGTCCAATTGCCATATTTGGGCAGTAGCGTACCATAGCATGTTCGTCAAGTTGACCCAAGAATATTCGTTAATGACGGGTGCATAGGTACCAGGCTGCCAAGTGAACCTCCCGTTTTCCTGGAAGAAGCCTTGTTCGGAGGAACAGCCTGGCCCTCCATTGAGGTAAACGGTTAAATCGTCCGATGGTTCGCCTATCTTAGGTTGGAAGATATAAAACAAAGATCGAGAACCATTATTGCTGTCATCAATAGGGATCGACCCTGAGTACATCTCGCCCAGATCGAAGTGCACATCAGGTAAGCTTTCCACCAAGTGGGCTATCCAGGGGTCACCATATGTCAGTCACGAATAAAGTTCAGGGCCAGTGAAACGCATACGTTTGGTCCTATTATTGAAGAAGCGGTAGTCAGAAGTATTGCTAGTCTGAGCTCTGGTCGCAACACGATATGTTGGATGACGTTTAGAAAAATGGGCGACAGCCCGGCTTCGTTCAGATTGAGTTGCTTCTGCACCGCTGATCAACAGAAGTGCAGCAGCAATCGTCACTGCAGGTGAAGCTAAAAACCTCATTTTGGATTAAAATCAACCAACAAGATTTGACAGGAGAAGATGTTGTTCAGCGGCCAAGGGGATCAGGTCATCTTGTACCCAACAAGAAGAATTCCTCCGTCGAACCCGATCGCTAGGGGTTGGGCCCATTTACTCCGATATTCTAGCGACGAAACAGATCCATTGAACTCAGATTATATTTCTCGATAGTTCCCATGTCATGATTGGAGCAACCAAGGCTAAAGATGGGTCTGTTCTGCATCGTACAGCTTCTTTACAGATTGGGTGCAATAGCGCACTTTTCGGCTTCCCGACCCCTGGTGGCACGGAACCGAGCAATCAGTCAGTCTAGTAATTATTAACTAGCCAGACGCGTTTGCAGAAAAAAGAAAGTCGAAGATACTCGCTTGGCAAGGAAGTGGCTTAGACTGTTGGTCAGTCCCCGCCATATAGTCTAGCTGGTCGAAGACGATGCCGATCTGAACCGAGTTTGGTCAACCAACGATGGAAATGGTTTTCTCTTTGTAGCGCCAAGACATGCAAGCCGGTCAATAGCCGCGGATCATGGAGCCCATCGGCGATTCCTTACTCAAATTTCTGGCATGAACTCCCCAGTTCTAAAGTTTCCTTACCAATCGAGAATATAGCATGGAAAAGGGACTCTAGGTCAATCTTCATTTAGTCTCTCTCCAATTCTCCCGTGAATAATCCGTTTGTCGTGTGCAATCTGAACATACGTACGTATGAAACCGGGTTTTGGTCACAGACAAATGTAGTTGCCCGAGAGTTAAATCCTTGGTGGATCTTTTCAGGGTCATTAGTCCTGTGTTTGTAATCAGCACGCAGCGGATGGAGCCGAATTCGTCATTTCTCATTCGAGGCCGAGTCGTGATCGTAACCCTAGATTCCCCACTGGACCCTGTGCAAATGCGGTGCGAAATCGACGCGCTTTCCCCAGACAAGAAGCGGAAATTTGATAGTCCCGGTCCCTCGGGGAATTTTCGCCCGCTTAGATAATACGCGTAAAATCCCCCTCCACGTCAAGCCAATTATTAGGGCGACTGACTCAATCCGTACATGGTTCCTGCATTTGATGTGACGATCGGCGGCAGCGTAGCCTCTGCTACGGCAAACTCATCGGCAAACACCAAGCCGATGGGTCGATGTCAACGATCATATCAATCAGGCATCATATCAATCATATCATCCTCCGATCTCGGTTTCTCGGGGAGTTCTCGGCACCCAACTTGAATGCTTGAGATTAACAGGACTTGGGGGGATTGACAGTGGGTTCTTCTTGAGGTGCCTAAAAGGGAAACTCGACCCCTTATCCAGAGAAATCGGATTATGTTCAGGACAATAATGTTTTTACGTCTTGTTCTTTCCTTTTCTTCATACCAAGTATCGCTCACTTAACTCTTACTTGTTCCAGATCTAATCAAAATTTGTTCAGTAAAAGGTAAAGTCGCGACAGTGTCTTTCCTTACATTCATTTTCTCGCTTCTCCATTCTCGCTCTAATTATCCCAATCATTGTAATTATCAGCATAAGGTGGTTCCAGCTACATAGAAATCGGCATTCCCTCCTCGCGTATGTATAAAGAATTAAGACTAATATAGTGATGAAAAGGTAGTCGTTTCAATCGGGTGGACCATACAAGATGGGCGACAATATGGGTCAGAATGTTTCTACCTGCCGGTGACATTCACCATCAAGATCAGCACTGACTACTTCTTCTTAACTCCATCATAACTCCGTGAAGATCCGGGACTTTACCCCACGCAGGCCACGCGTACTCTAACCTCGACTCGGGGGGTGGGGGGCACTCGGCTGTGACCCAGTTTGAAGGGTCTAACTGTCGAGATTGGGCACCTTAGGCATTTATTTCAGATTTTCATACTTCGTCTCTTTGCTTTCCCATCCATGCTCCCAGGTTTGTTCTGGGGAAATGTTGCGTTTTCTTGAAAGATGTTTCAGATTTACCTACGTGTATAGCTTCATGGAATCCAAGCCGACGAGGCTAATGAAATCAGTTGGTGGTCTGATAAAGGGGCTACGAATATCGATTATTGTATCCAATAAGTAAATCTTAGCCTGACTGGCTAGCCGAGTCCAGTATTCCCGGATAACTGAACCAAAGTTTTGACTTAGATACGCTTTGAATTCTGTTAGGCAGACAACATCCCGTTTCTTTGAACACTAGGGCTGCTCCTATTAGCATGATTTACGGAACAACAATATGATAAGTCTTTGCGCTTATATTTAAAACGCATACTGTATGATTAGACGCTTTCCGAAAGACTCTCTTTTATACGTTCAGTAAGATGCAGAATCCGGCCTCGAAAATATAGCCCGCTATTACAGTACCAGTCTTTTTGCAACAATAGCTCGCGCAATCCGTGACAGAAATAGGCCCGATCAATTGGTGTTCCTGCTTCGATTATGTCTTGCACCTTGAATATAAGTGATGGGTTGCAGAGCTCCTGCTAGTATGAATTGGGCATTCTCCAATGAAAGGCCTCTAGTATGTAGCGAGTGTCATGTATGCGTCCGTAACAGGGTGGAGGGCTCTGGTAGATCATATCGACATGATAATAATGATTTCGAGTGACTGAACAGCATCGCGGGAACGACTCGGAGATGCCGACAATGAATATTACGACATGATGCCACGAAATGGCATGTTGAGAAATCGGGGCGGTAGGCCTCAGGCCCATGGAATGCTACAGATTGTGTCATCACGATGGGCATCGGATTTCGCCGGCCAGTGGGTTACACGACGTGGAGGACTTTGGCAAGACAGACCCAAAGGCAGCGACAGGACTAGATGTTAATATAACGCTAGCGTGCAAGCATCATCACCACGACATACTTGACAGGACCTATCATCACTAGTGAAATGCCAGCAGGAAGTAGGTGTAATGTTGACGTTCGTTCATTCGAGGAGTGCAAGAATGTAGGGCCAGTAGTAAATGAAAAAGGCGCGCCTACTTCAGACGTTCAACCTGTGGAAATTCTGAGCAAGGAGGAAAGAAAGCATGGGAACAAAGCAGTACTCCGGCTAGAAGAGTTATTATGAACGACAATAAAAAAACATACAACAGAAGGGATTCGCTGGTGGTCACCCACCCAACTACTAACCTCCCGGCGTGTGGCTTAAGTACGGCTGAGCGGACGGGAAGCCCTGTTTTCCACACCCTGTGGTCGTATGTACTTGTGTTCTCTTAATACTACTATATGTAGTGCAAAACATTATAATCCAAGGTGATATATCGAACACGAAGCCTACCTCCTAACTATTCCACTCTCGATAAGTAGGGAAGGTAGACTTGACACGTACACTAGCTAGGACTAAGCAGCTATGGCGGAAGGCCTGCCAGCGACAACCCTGGACTCGTCCATCAGGATCTTAGTAATCAAACAGAGGAACGAAGATATATATATAATGTTGCGCAAGTGGGTATGCGCTTACCACGAATGCATAGGTATTAGGGGTCCCGGGAAGAAGCAATTTCAACCGAGACATCTAACAAGACAATGTATTTCCTTTTGCCTTTAATAGAGAGCGAAATAAGTAGTATCGCCTGGGTACGCTCATCCTAGACTTCATGCTAATTTCCGATCGTTTGGGATCCCCTTCTTCTCCTCATCTGTCAAGTGCACGTCAAAGATTTCAGCCAGCACTTGTAAGCGCTCATCTTCTGTCTTGCATTCCTTGATAACCTTAGTATTGGCGCCTATTGTTTCTCTCACCGTGTCTTGGAACAAGGTAACATTGCCCACTATCACCTCCTTATCCTCGTCCATGAGCATTTTTGTGCAGGTGACGTATCTGGTGAACCAGGATCGCGGGTTTGTTGATGTGAACCAGGACATAACTTCGTAGTCCTGGGGCAAGAACTCTGTCTCCGTGAAGCAATAGACTGGCAACCACTCTTTCTTGGCCGCATCCGCTGGGTTGTAGCAGACATCGAAGCACCACATCCTCGGTGGTCCGGTGCTATTGGCAGAATGTTTCGCATACGACTCGGGTATAGGGCGTAACTGCACACGAATTAAACGTGGGGCGATGCTGGTCGTCTGGAATCCGTCGCGCAGCGGATATGGAAGGTTGGGACCCTTGGTCATGCCGACATCTACAACGTACCACTCCGCATCCAGTCGAACAAGGTTGAGCATGTGGTTCCACCCCTCATAAGTTTTGCTCTGATTGCGCCGGACCTCTGGGTAGGGACTCATTGCCCGCGACACGCGACCTCCGCAGTTGCGTACCTCATAGCCGATGGAGCGAAGCACCGTGGCGAAAAAGGTGTTGTTTTCCATACATCGCCCGCCAAGCCGGCGGCGAACGATCTTGGTGTAGAGCTCCGACAGATCAAGTGTGACGGTCTTATGTGTGGAATAATGCAGTACGAGATTTTCGAAAGGCACATTGCAGGTATGGTAGCGTGTCAGGGCCTGCAGCAAGGGCAGCCCATGCTCTTTGGTTCTGGCCTGGGTGGCGTCTTTTAGCACAGGGGAGTCCAGATACTTCTGCGGGAGCTTAATGCACTCAAAGTAGTCACGCAACTCGACATCGCTGTACCGAGTACGGGAGCCCTCTCCGAGCGGAAGCTGAGTAAGGACAGTGGGTGCAGGGTTGGACGACATGACGGAATGTCAGTCACAGATGATATCTAGACAGCTTGGGGGGAATATTCAGAGCTGGGCTAAAATCTTAAGTGGCCGGACTAAATATCCGTGAGGAGTGTGAATGGTGATTCGAAAGGCTTCAAACTACACTCTTCCAGGGTACAATGATACTTATACATCCGTGGCACGCGGGAAAGGAGACCTGGGGAAATAAAAGTAAGCCAGCATTCCTAATAGTAGATCTGTCATCGCCCTTGACCAATTTGCTACTGGCCAAAGCATCATCTGGCATTTCAGAAGGCAAAGAATTAGAGTCCCTTACTTTTACAGCTTTGGAACCTTGAACTTGATTTCCTATTGGTTCTTCGATTGCTCGACTAATACCGTAAAAAAAGAAATCTTATTTCCATTCTCTTCACCTAACCTGTCAGCAGCCAGACCGCTAGCAAGCCCCGCTGCTCTCCGCGTAGGGGTGCTGCTCGTGGGGCGGCATGGGTGATTGGCTGGGCATGGCGAGAGGTGTCCCCTGAGCACACCATTGAGCTGCTGTAGCTTGTGGTCAACAGACCAGTAACCCTTGCTTACAATGATGTTGGTGACCAATTCATCTAGGTTTGTACAGTAGAGGCAACCCAGTTCAAGTGACGTGCAAGATGAGCGGGAAGGGCGCTATCCCTTGCATCTGCCACGAACGCCAAGCTACTCTGTAGTGAGTTAGCATACCTAGACTTGCGCAAGCGGCAGGCGTTGCATGCCAGACCGCCGACTCGCCGCTTGTTGCCGGGGGGACGGGGTCCAAGCTCCGATACTCGGTGGCGGATTTCTTGATGCATGTTTCCGTCATTGTAGGCATGAATTGTAATGCGTATGTGTATGTGTGCGCGAGTGGGTTGGGTAGATTAGAAGCCAACAGGGCTGAGTCGGTGAGCCTCGGACCATTAGATTTCGGAGAGCCACCTTAGTAAATCACCGGGAACACGAGTACCTTGCAGGTTTGAACCCTTAACATGGGGGTAAATGGATACATAAAAGTAAAGATCTGCCAACCTGTAACCCGCCTCATTCCCGGTTGTTGCTGAGTTTTCGTGTTGGGAGTGCACAAGATGCATCATACATGTTGAAGGGCACACATACCCGGACCTAATGCTCCTTTAGACCTACGTCTGCTGTTAAAGTCGTAGTATATTTCGACAAGCTTCTTTCTCCGTCACATAGTATCATTCTCCTATCATCTGTTCCGTATCATGCATAACCCCTTACTAATAAGCTACCCATGTGTAGCTGAATATGAGTTTGGCACTGAGAACTCTATTCTACCAAGCAAAGCCAATGTAACAGGGCATCTGTTTCATGAAGGAAGAGTTGTGGATGCTTACCAGTTCATTATTGGTCAGATGTTTACCTTCTTACCGTTGCCTACTGCTACGTCGTTGGAAGCAATCTTATATTGGCTATTAAGTTCAGAGCACATAGAACCAGGAGACACCAACTACGACACGTATCAGAACTTCCTACCCTCTCTATGCAGACGAAAATGTTAACCAGCCTGGCACCTGAAATTACTCTAACTGCAGGGACATATATCTAAACTTCCTGGTAATGCTACGGCAAAACTCTTTTGATGAAATCGCCAACGCAAGTCACATCCCCTCTTTAGGCTATCACCATGGATGACTCTGTTCAGTGTTAGAAAGGCTCTGCTCTAGACGAATGGTTGCGTTGATACTCACCCTCCCATCCCAACACCAAAACGACCCATTGTCCCCTTCACCTTTCTCCTTAATAACCCTCAGCATCCCCTCCACGCTCTCTCTCAGCTGGATCACACCTTCCACTATCCAATCCAACTGCACATTCGCCATATCACTGCCGCAACCAATTAGCGCAACAGATCTCACTTCAGGCAAACACAACCAACAACCAGGGCAGGTGAAAATCAATAGCCGATAACAAGGGTACTCACGTTTCCACCTCGCCCGGATGCAGCGCCAACACGCACGTCCGGACACCCTTCCGCGAAATTTCCGCCGCCATATGCCTCAATGATTGATTGAGGGCTGCTTTAGTCGCCGCATATACGGCAAATCCGTCTTCGTGGCTTCGGAATTGGCTCGCTGAACCGGAGTCAGAGGAAATGAAAACAATTTTCTCTAACGGTGTGGTCGGGTCGATGGAAAGCATCCTTTGGGCGACAATTATCGGGCCAATTGTGTTGGTTTGCAAGTGGTGTGTGAAGGTCTGGAAAGAGCTAGTATATAACAGTCTGTGTGAGTAAAGGCTATATACGTGTCTCATGGACGATAGGCGTACATCTCTGTAGCACGATTCGGATACTGGTTGATACCAGCATTTAAAATGACATTCGTTAATCGTAGCCCCCCATCTCGCACGGCCTTTTGGACATTGTGAGAAAAGTCCTAGTTCCATGTGTCATCTTCCGCCCTTATCAACAGTGGATATGTCTTAACTTTTAACTCACATCGATACTATCAGGCTTGGTAACGTCGCATTCCTCTACGGTGATTAGTGGAGCACCATTCCGAGTATACTGGGAAAGCAATTCGAAGAGCTGTTCAGCACTTGATAGGCTGCGTACTGCGGCGATTACCCGTTCTCCAGAGCTTGCTAGCTGCCGAACGAACTCCAGGCCGATACCTCTTGATGCACCCACAATAACCCATGTTCTGGTCATTTTGATCGATTGTCGTAGCAGGATACATGTGCGGATGTCAACGGCGGGCAGAACTGCAAAAGGAAATGAGATTACGAATATGGATGGGCTTATTTTCGACTCGACCTGCTGCCCGACACGCTGGTCTTATCCTGGTGAGAGGATGAGCGTATCTTTTGCCGAAAGTGGAAAAACAGTGGAGTCAAGTTGAAAGGAATGAATGGATAAGGGCAACCCCGCAGATAGGGAATCAATCTCCAACTTCAATCGGCCCCCGCAACTTCTACCACTACGTAAATATGCCTCTCCCTCTGACGCCAACCCACCGGCATCGGCCACAGGGAGTACGGATGGAATGCACCAAACTATAGTTTACTACTGACGAAGATATCGTAAACTTTTTGACCAAGGCCAAAAAGATCAATCAATTCCAATCTTCTATTTCGTAGTCGTAGTATTGCAAAGGTTGGTGACATTTATACATTTGGTGGCTGAACAATATTAACCTTCATCCCTTTAATCAGAACATCCCGCATTGTTTCTGCCGTCTTAATCCTGATATCAAAGAGACTTTTCTGGGCTGTAGTACTCAAAGCTCCTGGAGCATTCTGATCATCTACGCCATAATCTGGACGTCCAAAACAATCTCAGTTGCTGATATATCCCGACAGAAAATGAAAGCATTCGTTTTGCATACCAATAGGTGGGAGATTGAATGAGATTGTAAAGAATGTTTATAATATTATGATTTGCGACCGAAAAAAATTCACTTTACCCGATCAGGTTGGGATATACGTGATTAGTCAGCGATCATCACAGTGGATAGGATGAGTACTATTTGTCTCTAGAGAGAGCATCAATCGTCAAGTATAATAGAAGGTAGTATATATAGCATTTTCACTTTAGTTTCGACAAGCTCTACTACCGTGGTCCGGAACATTTCAGTTGTAGCAGTATTCTGACAAGAGTTACGCGCTGACTTTCGAGTATCACACGGTTCTGGGCTAAATATATATCAGCGACTCGAAAAGACCCACGTCTACTCACGAGGCAATCGCCACCGATTGAGGCCATCCTAGACGTCTGGTACGCGAAACAGGAAATCAACCGTTTGAACAAGAGTATCGGTAGGCATCTAGCTTACTGAAGCACCACGGCTCTACTCCGACGGGGTGCCCGATTATGAATGCTACCACTCCAAGTGACTGGGTCGATCGATTCTAGCTCAGCGGCCTCGTGAATCTTCGATTAGCTTTCCCACATGGTATTCTAGCCCACCACGGACTGAAGAGTAAGTCATCCAGGTCACTTACAGTTAGATACTAGATAGATTCCACTAGGCACGAAGGCTCCGACCCACTCACATCTTCACTGGTAGCCAGCTGCCGTGTGCAATAATGTCGCGTCAAGGATTCACGCCGAGCAAAATCAAAGTTAGGCCGGTCATGCAAGGGCTACTATGGCGCACAACGGAAGCTTAAGTTCAAGAACCACAAGTGTCAAGTCTCATTGTCATGGAGGGTTCCAGTTGGACGAGAGGGCGCCGCATGCGGTGATGCCCCACTGAACCGTAATCTTGGTCGGACTGCCGCGCAGCCCCGATTCGACGGAATTCTCCGATCTGTTGGGGTGACGTTGTCCGATGAATAACAATAATGCCCTATGATGTATCGAAGACAATGGAATATGGGCCAAGAAGAGTTTTACTCATTCTCTGGCTTATGTGGCTTGTGCGAGGCGAAGGGCTTGCATGATCTTTAGACTTTGGCGCTGTTGCTGCCGAAGGAAGGGGTTATGAGAAATCTGCCAAAAATGAGCGGTGGTCGACCGGCTGGTTCGATTAGGAGCAGCAGTGTAGCATATCAAAACCATACCAGCCGATTCCAACACTGTTACATTGTTCCTTGTCGGGCACCCCGAAAGGCCTGTCGTTGAACCTTTACTTATAACATTCCAGGTAGGTCTCCTCGGATACCCACTTCCGACAAGTACAACTCTGCTGATCGTTTCCGGCCATCACAGCGATCGGTCGGATCGCCATTGTTCCACTTTTTGAAAGCCTGTTTACTAGGAGAAACCCCAATTGAAAGCTTACCTTCGTTCATCAACTCACCAATCATTGTTGCATTTCGGTCCCAGCTTCGGCTTGGCCGCTATTGACCCATGGCTTGACAGCAGTCATCTCGTTACACAACAGCTATGCCAACCAATATACGATCGGATGAGTCCGCGGGAGAAGAGCTTCCCCAGCCGGCCCATCGTAGAGCGGGACCTGGAGTGGGGAGCTTCAGTTTCCATCGTACATCTAACTGGCCATGTCGGATCTTTGCTACTCCAAGCTGGGGTAGCTAGCTACCTTTGAGTTCTGGTCTACCTCATGTTGACGTCTTGCATTGGATGAGAGGAATACGGAGACCCCGTGAAGATGAGGCTATGGAAGATATAAAAATGAGCACGATGTACTCTGTTTGTTTGAGAATCATGATTCAAGTTTGCGTTGAAGAATACAAGCCTAATTGCTATTGTGTGACAACCAACCGAGGTTAAACCGACATTTGTCTGAATGTTCATCACTCAAGAGACTTTCTAACCTTCAGATGACGTTCAGCTCATACTGTTGTTAGCCTTTTTATCATTTAATACTTAATATTTCTGTTGACCCCGTTTCATTAATAATCCAATCAAAGCATCCCCAAAATGGCCACCTCCTTCCAACCTAACGTGCACTACACCTTTGGGTCACCCCTGTCTGCGAGCTCTATCTTCGGCAGGCGTCAGGCCTCAAATATTCTGGAGCAAGAGAGTTATTCTAACAGTAGCTTTCAATCTGGAAGTTCCAGACATGTGTCGAGAAGAGTCAGCAGCAGTGGTAACACTGCACTAGCTGATGTGGTTAACACTCTCACCCGACGGAGCAGCGATGCAATGATAGCATCCAAAATCAACGATGCCGACTATGAGACATTGCTGAACTGGATCCGAGCTGAACGTATGGGGAAGCTACCCCCCGAGGGAAGCAGCTACGACAAGGCCCTGGTCTGGGCTGTTCTGTTCGTGGGACGTCTGCATTCCTTCGATTCAGCCATTGGACACTTCGCTGGCGACAGCCACACAGCGGCTCAGCTGGCTTACGTGTACTGTGCTAATCTACTGGAGGTATGTGTCAGGCCTTTCACATTCTATCATCACAAATACATAATGCATGGTGGATAACGGTTTCTAGCTCGGAGAGCAAAATGCGTCCGCCCTTCAGGACCTCTTCGGGTTCTTCTACCGCTGTTCGACTGGACTCGGCAGCTTATTGGACCGAACGGAGCTCTTCGATGTGTCCAAGGATATCAAGGACCAGCTGATTTTGGCATTGGCTGACCTTGTTACTCTGGTTGCTGGCGTTGCGAGCCACTTCAACCGCGCCTTGCAGAACTCTCAGACGGTGGAAATTGACATCTACCATCAATTTTCCGAGTCGCTCAGCAGCTTTCACAGTCGCTGCGAGACCGTCTCTGACCTGATGTGGAGACACCAACTTGTCCGCGAGGGTCTGAACGGTGATAAAGGTCTGCGAAAACCCTCAATATAGATTGGTGAGATTGGATTACTGACGGTAATCACCGCAGTGACCGAGATAAAGACTATCAGAAGCTGGCTTGAGCCAGAGGATCCAGCTCTCACAAATATCACCGAGAACACTGCTCATTTTGCTCAGGAACGTGAAGAATCAACCTGTCTCTGGGTGTCTCAGTACTTGACCAGATTTCTCAAAAGCAACCAGCAAGTCCTTTCCTTCGTAGGAAAGCCGGGATCTGGTAAATCAATCCTGTCAACGGTCATCAACGACCATTTACAGCATCCGGTCGGAGGTGTTACCTACAAGCCAATCTTTGCGCCAATTAGTGAGTACACCTAGATCATATGGTATTGAGCGTGTCTAATATACCATATAGATGGCAGGGTGGCTGCGAATACTACACCGCGGGCTATTGCGAAGACGATCCTGTCCCAGCTGTTCGGCAAACGCATCGGCAATGTGAGGTTGTACCAGATCTTAGCCGATGCTTATGAGCGGAGCCAGAGAACTGTTGACGAAGATGCGTACGACAATATTCTCTGGAACGCCTTGGGCAATTCCCTCAATGCCAGTCTCAAGAATGCCAAAGAACTTGTTTTGGTCGTCGATGGTGTTGACGAGGCTAGTTGCGGCGAGACACCTTTGCTAAGAAAGCTCCAAGAGGCTGTTCAGAACGCCGGTAACGTAAAACTGATTGTCTTCGGCTCCCAGAAGCCGAGTCAATTCCCATCTCAAACTACGGTGAACGTCACTCCAGAGCTGGTCTTCGATGATATTGCCGCCGTGGCACGTAAAATCCTGCAACAGAGTAACGCTTTCAACTATATGTCCGAAGATGACCAAGAGCTCAATGTGACCCGGATCGCAGAGGCATCACAGGGCTCCTTCCTGTGGGCCAAGCTTGCTGCAAAGCGTGTTCGGGATGAGCATCCAACAAACGCAAATTCTCTGACGAGGTCTATCCAAAGTATAGCCAACGCGGGATACAGTGTTACCGATTTGGTCTCCCAGTCGCTGCATTCGAAGTTGAATGATGATGGGAAGAAGATCTTAACATGGCTCGCAACTGCGGTTCGCCCACTCAGCAAGAGCGAATTAACATCTCTGGTGTCGATTGAATTGAACAAGGCCTCGTATACCGAGCGAGAGATTGATATCCAGCATACCCTTAAGCCTGTTGCATCGCTGGTGTTTATCCAGAATAACATGGTCTTCCTCAGACATGGACAGATCCGCTCTGCCATCCTGGACATTTTTGCCAGGGAGAAGTTCCTTCCGGCCATCAAGAATCGAAACAGCGATTTGACGCAGAGGCTTCTGCTCTACACCAAGCAAGCCGTGAATGAGAGTCATGACCCGTCTTTGAGTCCCCTGGATGAGAAGGTTGCTCAGACCTATCTGGACAAGCACCCTCTTCTGGACTTCGCCCTTCGGTATTGGGTGAACCACGCCA